CAATGGCGTGGCCTCAGAATACTCTATGTCCCCGTTAGAGTTCTCTGTCCGTGTGTCCTCCATCACTGTCCACAGGCCTTTCTTTCCCTGAAAAGGATGTCCTTCTCGTCTTCTTTCTGCCCACACTCAACACTGGAATGCTATATTGTTCTGGACTCTTTTGGTTACACGAGTCAGCAAATGCCCTAAGCAAAAAGGAGTCCAATGCTCCACACTTCTGAAAAGAAAGTCTAGGCATGGCCAGGATGGTGAAGCTACTGCCAAGATGGCTACCGGCAGCCTTTGAGCTGCCTCTCTGAACAGACCACTTCTAGCTCACGACCAGCTGGATGTAATGGCAGTATTTATGCCAGCTCCGGACAAGGCCTTGGGAGACTGGGCAGTTTGGATTTTGACCTTTTAGAATCTAGCCACCATGTGAGGGAATCTAACCACCTCACACCACACAGAGAGGGGGTGGTAGAAAGGGATGTAAAACAGTAAAGCATTTAATTAAAGTATATATGAACATAAAAATTGGGATAGAGGTTTGGCCAGCTCTTGTCCCCCCCCCAGCCTTCTGCCCCCCCCCCCACACACACCTTCTTATGTAGATGGAGCTACCTTGGACACTCTTGTCCCAGCAATGCCATATGAAACTGAGGAAAGCCACCTCCCAGGAGGGCTCGCCAGAACTCAGGCCTGCAGCAGTGAAAGGCAGTTAGTGCTGTGGGCCAATCATTTTAGAGCAGTTTGTCACCCAGCAACCGGAGATAGGACCGGCAGCCTCTGGTGCTCTGGCAAGCCATAAGGACTTGTGGTTCAGTTGGGCCCCTGGCTTTCTTTGCAGGGAGGGCAGGCTGTGTTTGGAAGTGGGCACGACTTTCATCTTGGCAGCAGGTTGACACTTGCCCATTTAGCAATACCCACTGATGGTGAAGTTCTTTCCCAGCAGGGCTAGCCAGTCTCACGGCTGACTCTAATTGGCTGTGACTAAGTTGTGACCGACCCTACGGAGCCTGCCTCACCCTAAACCAGTTAGGCTCTGGCCTCCAAAGGAAGGGGTGGTCTGTTTTCTCTCTGGGACCTCTCTCCAGAGCAAAGTCGGATGGTGACAAATGCCACTTGTTTTCTTTCTTTTCTGGGGATCTTCCTATTGTACTATCTGACTTGTGTACTGTAAAAGCATTATTTTGTATGAGTGCCCGGCAGAGCAGCTATTGGGCAACTGGCTTATGAAATAAATCTAAAGGCTATAAATAAATAAGTAAATAAATAACATGTTCTGACAATTGAGATGTGAGTGAACCTGATAGTTTTGATTCATCTTTCTCATTAAAAGCCAGCATCTATTGTGGACCCCTGAGGAACACCAAGCTGGATACAGAAATCAAAACTAGATGCGTGCTGGAGCACACACCAAGACCCCCCCTCCGCCCCCATGGCTTGTCACAGCACACTGGCCTCTCTAGATGTACACGCGCGCGCGCACACACACAGCCTACATAGTTCTAAGAAGCTGGGGGACAAGGGGACAAGTCCAGTATCAGATGGCAGCTGGAAATGAGGAAAAAAAAAGCCCACAGATAATCTGATAGATTTTTTAGTAGGACCTTTGAAAGATTAGGTTGGCATAATGAATTATAATGAATTATAATGACTTGACAGTTACAGACCATGAAGCTTTTCTTTTGGAGAGGGTCTTTCTGCATAGCTCTGACTGTCCTGGAACTCACTGTGTAGATGAAGCTGGGCTCAAACTCACAGAGACCCACCCACCTCTGCCTCCTAAGTGCTCGGAGTAAAGATGTGCAGCACAATGTCCAGATGTTGCCTTCAAATCTTTAATCCTGAAAGATTGTGTGCGTGCGTGCGTGCATGCGTGTGTGTGTGTGTGTGTGTGTGTGTGTGTGTGTGCGTGTGCGCGTGGAAGCGGACAGTCAGTCACTCGTTGGAGAAAGGACATTGCTATGCCACCATCTTCGTCTCCCCATCAAGAACCACCCTGGAAGTCAGTTCGCATTGCTTTTGTGTTTCTCAATCATTTTCATGGAATAACTTCCTTTTCTTAAAGAAATCAGTTGTCTGTCTTCCTACCCTTTAATTCTTAGTATGTGTAATCTCTGTACATTGAGCACAGAACCCTTGCAGTTGTCTGTGTCTTGCTTTTTTCTTTCCCTGTGTTGTTTGTGACATTCACCCAAATTGATTTTTTTTTTTAAAGCAGGGGTTCAGTCTGCGACTCATGTTCTCACTTTACTACCGCTTCTCATAGACAGAAGCATGTTTTTAATGCTGTTAAATATTTACGGTATATGCTTTTGGAAACCTGCTTTTTATGACTTGAGATAAAAATGATCTCCAATTTTCTTTTGAAAGATTGAAGCTTTTTTCCTTTGTCTTTAAAAAATAATTTGACATTGATTTGTGTGTATGTACATGCGCACATATGCACATGCATGCCTGTGTCGTGGGGTTTCCATTGCTGTGAAGAGACACCATGACCAAGGCAACTCGTATCAAGGAAAACATTTAATTGGGACTGGTTTACAGTTTCAGAGGTTCAGTCCATTATCTTCATGGGGGTGAGCAGGCAGACATGGTACTGGGGTAGGAGTTGAGAGCTCTCCATCTTGATCCAAGGGCAGCAGAAGCAACTGTGTACCAATCTGAGTATAGCTTGACCTCAAAGTCCGCCTCCACGTGACACACTTCCTCCAGGATTGCCACACCTACTCCAACAAGACCACACCTCCTAACAGTGCCACTCCCTATGAGCCAAGCATTCAAACACAGGAGTCTCTGGGGGCCACACCCATGCAAAACACCACAGCATGTATGGGCATGCAGTTGCCCAGGTGTACCTGTGAAGGCCAGTGACAGCTTTTGAGAACTGATTCTCTCCATCCCAGACACTGAATTCCAGCCATCAGGCTTGCTGATAAGCCCTTATCCTCCAAGCCTCAAGGTTTTATTTTGTTTTGGTTTGTTTTTTGTTGTTGCTGCTTTTTTTTTTTTTTTTTTTTTTTTTATCTTAACCTAGCACTGACTTTTGTGTATGTTGTGAGGGGATCTGTCTTTTCCTCTTTTGTGAAAAAGGCAAATCATAGCAGTATGACTTCAAAAATTTCTAAATCCTTTGTCTTCATCCAGGTGAAACCCCAGGTTCCCTGAAAGTGGCCTGGAAGCCCCTGTAGGACCTCGGAGAAAGCCCCTCCCACCTTCCCTCTGATGTGCTTCTGAGGGAACAGGGTTCTCCTCCTTACTCTTCCTTGAGCGCCCTAGACTTGTTCATCTGTGTGAATTTCCACATTTCTACATGTCTTGGTCAGTATTCCATTACTGTGACGAGACACACTGACCTGGCTTACAAAACTTGCTTACCGTTTGAGAGGTTTAGTTCATTGTCATCATGGTGGGGAGCATGGCACCTTGCAGTCAGACATGGTGCTGGAGAACTATTCTATCCAGATCCACAGGCAGCAGGGACAGTGAGACACTGGGCTTGGAATGGGCTTTTGAGAAGCCCACCTCCAGTGACACACCTTCTCTAACAAGACCACACCTAATTCTTTCAAAGAGTGCCACTCCCTAGTGACCCTGTGCAAGCCATTCTTACTCAAACTATTACTGTCTCCCTCACTCCCCAAGTCTCTGCTCAGATATTGCCCTATCAAAGAATCTTCTCTGGACATCATAACTAAAATCATACAACACACACACACACACACACACACACACACACACACACAATCACAATCTCTATTTTCTGCCTGGAAGAATTTACCTGAAAAATCTCTCTGGGCCAGGTGTGTATTTGTTTCTTAAATGTCTTTAGATTAGATTTCTGATTCTTCTTAACTTTTAATAATTTACTTCCTGCATAGTTAATATATGGCCACAATACACATTTAAGATGCATACATAGTAAAAAAAAAAAAAATGAACAAACAAAAACCTCCAATCTCTGTCTTCTAAGTACCAAGTACTCCTCTCCTAACTTCAGTTGCTTGTTCAATTATTTCTGTGGTTTCTGTTTATCTTCTCAGAAATTATATATATGTATATATATGCACAGATACAAACGGCATGGCGTTTTTTAATAAATGATAAAATGCCATATATTATTCTGCATCTCTCCTTTTTCCCCCACTTAACTATATATGCTAGAAACGACCCCATAGTGGGTCACTGCATCTGTTAGACTTGCCTATTACGCTGCTGGGTGGACATGCCTTGGTTAGTCGATCTTTGTGAATGTCAGGTAGGTCATCCTCAGGCTCTGTGAGGGCCTCCCAGGGCTACCAGACCTCTTAGACTTCCATTCTTACATTGTGGGCTCCTGGTTCAGGAACCCCAGCAGCTTCTCTTCCTCCACCTCGTACCTGTGAGCCTGAAGACGCCCACCCCCTAAGCCGATGCCCTGAGGTTTTTTCCAAATGTGCAGTCCGGTTTTCTCCCAGCCAGCTAGGGGATAAACACCTCCTCCTCTCCCTGTAGGCAGATCACAGTGCACTCTGGGCCTGTGGAGATCAGTGGTTTAAACCTGCCAACCAGGCCTCAGCGGCACGTCCAGCATAACCAGACCTTGTGTGGTGAATTTTCTGGTTAGGCAACTGATACGGAATCCATAACCAATCAGTGCTTTTACTGTTGGACTCCAAATTCCACTAGGACCAGAGATCGCTAAAGTGAAAAGATGTGTCTGGGCTTCAAGGTAACTTACAGCACAGGGAGTCACACAAGCACAATTAAGATACACAACGCAGTGGAATCCTAGGTGGGAAAACGCCCCTCCCTCCTGCAATCCTTAGCCCACCACCCAGGTCCAGGGTGAGCTGCCCAGCAAGTGTGCCTGTTAGCAAGTGTGCCTGTTGAATGAAGAGTATTCTAAAAGGAAGCCCTCAACGCAGCCGCCAACCTCCGGTCTCAAAGCCATCTTTTATCACGCTCGAATGGGTCCCTATCCTGTACCGACGTGGCTCCTCTGAGCAGGGGCGGCGTGGGAGCTCGTGGGCCGGGAGTGCAGCTGAGCCCGGCACCTGGAGCGGGAATGGGCGCTGCGCGGGGCGCAGGGGCGGGGAGCGGGGAAGGGGCGGAGACTGTCGCCCGCCTCCCCCGCCCCGGCGGCGGCGCAGGGCCGCGGGGTGTCGGCAGCAGCTGCAGCCGCCCGCGCCACCCCCTCGGCCGCGGCTCCGGGACGAGCGAGGGTGAGCTGAGCACGGCGGGCAGCTGCCACCCCGCGCCGCCGTACCGAGAGGAGTGGAGCGGCGGCCCCAGAGAACGCAAAGTTGCCAGTGTAAGCGCAGACATGCCGGGCAGCGACACGGCGCTCACCGTGGACCGGACCTACTCGGATCCCGGCCGGCACCACCGCTGCAAGAGCCGGGTGAGGGCGCGCTCCGGGCGGCGCGGGGGTGCGAGCCGGTGGGGAGGAGGGGGGCCGAGCCTTGGAGCCCATCGCCGGCTTCTCCGGGCCCGCAAGGTCGGAAGAAACCTGCGGCCCGGGGACCCCGGGCCACCGCTGGATTGAGAGGCTAGCTTGCATACACTGCCACCACCGCTCCGCGACGGCGTCTCCCCGCCAGGGAGCGCACGCTGCCGGCACCCGGGACTCCCAGGGTCTGGCTCGGGGCACCGCCGCCTGCGGGGCTCGGCGTGGCTGCTGCATCCCCAGCCCAGCAGCACCGTGCGCCCCGGACGCGCTGCCAAAAAAAAAAAAAAAATTCCAAAGTCCGTTTCGGCGCCGGCGCTCCGGAGTTGGGAGCCGTGTAGAGCGAGCTCCTTCGCCTCGGTTTGCGGTGTAATTTGCTGTTGCTGATTTGGGCTGTGAGCTAAAATAGCTCTTCTGAGCAAGCTGTGGAGACTGGCCCTGGAGGGCTTCAGTATCAAGACTGAGGCTGCGGTCCCAGCCCTGGGCCCTCCCGAGGAACACCTTCCCTCCTGGGCAGCCCAAGTGTCCTGGCGGGACGTGGGGCTCCCAAATCCTTTCGCCCTTCGGCTGATTAAAGTGCCATTTGACACAGCACCTCCTCCACTCTGGCAGGCCATACCTGGAGTTGTTCTCTGAGCCTCCCAACTTCTAGCTTGTCGGAGGGACCGGGCATTTCGGTGTCAGCTGCCCTGTATAAAGTTCTTCCAGGTAGACCAGGCAGTTTTTGTCCCACCATCCCCAAGATCCATTAACCAGCCAGATCGAAGTTGCAGCCCTAAGTGACAGGCTTGTGCCCGGTCCCATCTTAGCCTTTGAGTATTGGAATTACAGAATGTGGGTGTGCAGTCATATTTGAAAAGGTCATCGGTTGCCCCCAAAGTGGCCTGTTCGCCTCGTTTCTCTCTTCACTTCAGCTCCTCTTAATCAATTTAAGAAAATGATTTTTTTTTACACAAATTTAATGTGTTTGGTGAATTGCTCCTGCATAGACCGACTCTTTCCCAGTTTCTTTAAAAGTTTTATAACAAAAGCACCAGGAAGTATTCCAAAACCCCATAGGGGAGGCACAGTTTTGGTTACCTGTAGCCAGAAGTTTGTTGGGGAGGGTGACTGCTCATGAACATAGCTCACCGAAGGCAATGTCTTTTTTTTTTTTTTAATGGGGGGGGAGGGGCTGTGTAAAGTTAATATTGCAGTTGACAGGAGAAATTGCAATCTTAGAGTCCTTTGAGAGCCTGGACTGTCACAACTCAATGATCTCCATAAGCAGCAGTTGGTAATGTTGGGGGGAGAGTGAGCTCGTGGACAACACTCATGGAATGAGCTCTCCAAGATTCGAGCTTTGTTGCCAATCAGACGGATGGGAACACGGGTGCGCATCAGACGGATGGGAACACGGGTGCGCATGGACTTGGGTGGGAAATGGAAAGGCAAGCTGAACTGCAGACTTTAGCGTCTTGTCCACACCACTCACACCACTCAATTGTCAGAAAGTGTCCAAGACCTCCCATGACAGGGATTTGCCTGTTTGTTTTTTGTTTGTTTGTTTGTTTGTTTAGGTGGTGCTTAAGGTTGCACTTGTTACATTGTCAACAGGGAGATGCACATTTGTAAACTGTGTAGCGAAAATGAGTTAGATGCTGTGTGTACACATTACTAGCCCATTGAGCAGATGGGATCTAGTGAGGGCTAGAAAAATAAAATAAAATAAAACTTGAGAGGGAAGAGGGCTAGAGTTGAGTAGGCCCAGATCATAGTTCAACCCCCTCCTAGAGATCCCAACCTAGCCTTCTAGACTGTCTGCTTTGAGTTGTTTGTTGCTGCTGCTGCTGTTTAGGGGTTGCTTTTGAGACAAGGTCTCACTATGTTGTCCAGGCTGGTCTTGAACCCTCAATCCTCCCATCTTAGCCTTTGAGTGCTGGAATTACAAGCTTGCCCTGCCATGCATGCCTGGCATTGCTTTTAGGCATTTTGTTTGCTTTCCTGTGGAGATGTAAAGGTATCAGGAGGGCTAATATAAGAACTTTTCTCTAGTGGGGCCAGTGTAATTTTGCATCCCTCCTTAGGGCTGCAATAAGTCCTGCTGTAATGAAGCCACAGCAAAAGCTATTTTGCTATTGCAGAGAGTGCCATCGAACTAGGTGAGCCAGCAGCTCCTTTGGGGACTCAATCTGATGGAGCTATAAAAAAGCATTTCCCCCTCACACCCAGAAAAGTGTGCTAAAGGAAAACGCCCAATGGCATTAGGGCTTAATTTCTTGATGGTACTCTCTCCTTGGAAATAAACTAGGATTTAAAAAGAATCCCTGTAGTTAGTGCCCTCTGGCAAACTAGCTTTCTTTCTAAAATGCTGATAAGTACTGGGATGACATGCTGAGGTGACTAGCCTCTCAGGAATCTGTAGTTTCCTCCCAAGAACAACTTGATTAACAAATGGTCATTTAAAGGATTCAGAATCTTTTACCCATCGAGGAAATGGGAAAATACACATTACCTAGGCTGGGCTTTCTTAAGCCTTTAGACCTAATGGTAATTTGACAGAGGACAGCATTAGTACTTCAAGGTCTATTTTTAAAGCCAGGTAGACCAATCTAGATCCCCCCCCCTTCCAAAATGTAACTAATTACGTTTCTGGTTGTCGCTAAGCTAAAGTCAGAATCATCACATTTTTTAACTTCTTCTTTGTAAAACTCAAAAAGTGCTGCCTATTAACTTGACAGACGTAACATCTTTCCACTTTTAAAAGAAAGAGCATGCATAATTAGACCTTGCATTTTTTTCCTTATGCCCTAGATAGTCAAAGCCTATATTAAGAATATAGGCTCTCTGCCTTCCTCACCTTAACTGGTTTTTATTAATTATGCCTGAGTCCAGAGGTCTTGTTTTGTTTGGTTTGCTTAGTTGGGTCTCACTTTAAATGTTCCCCAATGCCACCTTCAGCCACTTGGGTGCAGCTGTGAACTGCTGGGGCTCCTGGGGCAGACATAGCTCCCAACTGGGTGATCACCAGCACGAGGCCCTAAATAGCTTTCTGAGACTCCAGTCCCCTCCCCCCCCTCCATATAGAACAGGTGATGTCAGCCCATCCTGGTGAGTATGACTCCTAAGTAAGAAGATCTGTGTTTCCCCCTAATGAGCAGCTATTCGATTCAGATGTTACTGCTTTCATCTGCATGTAAAAATTTTTTTTTCTTGCCACTGTAAGTAATCCCACCACCACTTGGTACCACTCTGTCCCCTTTTACACTGTCAGCCACTGGCTGGGCTTTCATAAATTCTCTGCAGTTAGTCCCGTTAGCCACTGAGGTCCTCCAAGCGGAAGACGTGATTGTTTCCCTGCAGACTCACCTTCATTAGAGTTACCTCCCACTCTAGTGTGGACTGCTACTATGTGACTTGGAGCCCATGATCATTCTGTGCGTAGTGTCTTCCATGAGCAGTAGAGGTGTTGGAGAATGGATGCACTGAAGCCTATAAAGTGTGAGGCAAATTATTTATTTATGTATTTATACATTGTTATCAAGAGGCTCCATGAGCTTGGGGATGGAAATACCCCAAATTTTGTGACAAATCCCACCGAGCATCTTTCGTGCACCAGCTGCTGGTCGGGCCATCCAAAAGAATGTGCTAGTATGCGCTAGTAAGTTAACAGTCTGAGCTCATTGGAAGCTGGCTGCCTGGTGAGTATATCTTTTTATACTGTGGCCCAAGGCAGTATAGCCTTCTCTTTCACGGGAAGAATTGGTCCTAATAAATATAAAAAGTATCTGACATATAACGTAAAACCTGAAAGCCACCTGTCACACATTTTGAAGTCCTCTGCGACTGGAAACATTCCCAGTGGGTGATGAGTAATGACCAGAGCTGTCAGGGAGGGGGGGGGGTTGGGGCCCTCCCACAATGGAACTGGCTGAGCAGTGAGTTGATTGCTTGCTTGCTCCCTGGCAGGAAGTAGGGCAGATAGAAACAGACTCTCATAGGTGTCACTGACCTAGGGAGGTGGCAAAATGAAGAGATTTGAGGATTGTTTTAATCAGTGATTTGTTTCAGCAAAAGAGATTGAGTGTCTCAAGGCAGAATTTGTTTACATTAGGAGGGGTAGGTTGACCACACATGTTTTTTTTTTTGAGCTATGCTTTGCTGCAGGCTCGCTGGCTCTCCCTTAGAGAAGAAAGACTTGCCAGCCACCAGCAGCAGCTCACACATGCCTGTCACATCCGCTGCAGAGCGCCACAACAGCTGCTACCAAGTTGGATCTCAGAATATGTTTTCCTTCAGACACTTCCTGAATTCCCAGAGCCAAAACCCAGAGTCCCAGATGAAAATTGCCCACATCTCCAGGAGAATCTGCAGTGTTTTTAGCCTCACTGTCTCTTAATTGTGTTTTTGTGTTTTCAGTGGAGGAGGTGATGCGGGAAAAGGAAGACAGAGCGTGAATCACTGCACTGTGAATCAGAGTTAGGACTTTGCATTCCTTCTAAAAGGAACATCCGGGTACATGGTTTGTGCATCATCCATCTAGCCACGGCATGGATGTGGAAGGGGATGGTGAAGGGAAACAGTGCACTTGTTGAGGCAAAAAGGACAGGCATGGAAAGGTCGTAGTAACGATGGCTACTGCAACCAGTGGCCTCGCGGACACCAGATCTAGCGAGAGGTCCAGTTTCAAGCTCTCGCTGACCTTCTCCCTGCAGCTTGGTTTTAAGCACTTCCCTGGTGGCCCCTGGGCCGGGTCCTGGAGAGCAGCTTGGCCCTGGTAAACTGGATGGTGAATAAATGCGTTAAGCAGCTCTGTCTTGATGGACCATTCGGGGTGCTCTGGTGCAGATGTGTGTGGCGCACTTAGGGCACCTCCTCACTTGTGTGCTCAGGATTTTTATGACATACTCTTTTCTAGTCTTTTGTACTCAGCCCTATAATCCAAGTAAACTTGTTTTGTTTTGGAACTCACTCTG